TGTATGTATATGTGTGTATGTATATGTATGTATATGTGTGTATGTATGTATATGTATATATGTATGCATGTATGTATATGTATATATGTATGCATATGTATATATGTATGTATATGTATATATGTATATATGTATATGTACGTATATATGTATATGTACATATGTATGTATATGTATATATGTATATATATGTATGTATATGTATATAAGTATGTATATGTATATGTATATGTATATGTATGTGTATGTATATATGTATGTATGTACAGGTCCTTCTCAAAAAATTAGCATATTGTGATAAAGGTCATTATTTTCCATAATGTAATGATAAAAATGAAACTTTCATATATTTCAGATTCATTGCACACCAACTGAAATATTTCAGGTCTTTGTTTTAATACTGATGATTATGGCATACAATTAATGAAAACCCAAAATGTCTGTCCCAAAAAATTAGCATATTTCATCCCACCAATGAAAGACAAGTGTTTTTAATACAAAAAACGCCAACCTTCAAATAATCATGTTCAGTTATGCACTCAATACTTGGTCGGGAATCCTTTTGCATGAATGACTGCTTCAGTGCAGCGTGGCATGGAGGCAATCAGCCTGTGGCACTGCTGAGGTGTTATGGAGGCCCAGGATGCTTCGATAGCGGCCTTAAGCTCATCCAGAGTGTTGGGTCTTGTGTCTCTCAACTTTCTCTTCACAATATCCCACAGGTTCTCTATGGGGTTCAGGTCAGGAGAGTTGGCAGGCCAATTGAGCACAGTAATACCATGGTCAGTAAACCATTTACCAGTGGTTTTGGCACTGTGAGCAGGTGCCAGGTTGTGCTGATAAATGAAATCTTCATCTCCATAAAGCTTTTCAGCAGATGGAAGCATGAAGTGCTCCAAACTCTCCTGATAGCTAGCTGCATTGACCCTGCCCTTGATAAAACACAGTGGACCAACACCAGCAGCTGACATGACACCCCAGACCATCACTGACTGTGGGTGCTTCACACTGGACTTCTGGCATTTTGGCATTTCCTTCTCCCCAGTCTTCCTCCAGACTCTGGCACCTTAATTGAACCTTGAATCTTGAAAGCATCAACAACATTCGGATGTAGATCCAGAGCTTTAAAAACTCCTACACCTTGTGTTATTGCTTTGAATATTGAATCTGAATAACCTGTTATTTAAATGCTGTTTTTATTGGTCATTGCACCAACCTACATTCACGTTCAGATTGTGTCGTTTCAAGATCATTAACAAGTTAAGATGAGTTGCCTGCTGCAGATCCAGTCTCCGTAAAACAACGTTGACATACAGCTTTGGATTTGCGCTTGTCTTTTAACAAGAAAGCCATAATGTTCCCAAACAGGAGATCGCAACGAGATGGCTTGTTCGTTGCCTGCTAGACTGCTAATGCTACACGTGTTGCAAGATAATAGCACCATGCTGAAACACGCTTAGGAACTTTAGTTCCGCTGCGCATAATCTCTCGTTAATAAAATTTAGTGAGTGAAAGAATAACTGAAACAGTACGCACGTGAACCGAACCGAACATGCTGTACCGAAACGGTTCAATACACCCACATGTACCGTTAAACCCCTATCAATTAAAAATAAGTTTTCGGGTGGGGATGGAAAATCAGATCTTTTGTCTTTGCTTCAGATTCAGTGTTCACTTTGGGTTTGTTCTGTCTCTTTGAGCGGGTATTTTAAATTGATTGGTTGTCTAAATTGGCATTTAGTGGTATTTAGGTAACTGAGGTGCTGTGCTACAGATCCAGGAGCAACAAGAACTCAGGCGTCTGGAGAGGGAGGAGAGGGAGCGCTATGAGGTCCAGTTGGAGGCCGACATGAAGAACCACCAGCCCTGGGGGAGAGGTGGAGGAGGAGCCCCTCTGAGGGACAGCAATGGGGACCTCATTGGTGGGATCTGTTTATTTTTTTATTTTCCTCATTTGGAAATAGTCTATGGGAAATTAACCTGACTGTATTAAAGTTCTAATTTGACTTTCCTGTGGGCCAGCTGACCTGAACCAGATGCACAAACAGAATGAGGAGGCTTACATCAACCCAGAGGTGAGGCAAAGGAGAGCATCTGCTGCCAGAACGTCCTGCCAGGGAGAGCGGCCTGACTACACTGAGGAGGGGTCTTCTGGTGCTGTCCCAGAGTACAAGAACCATAACATAAAGGACAGGATCCCAGGTAACCATCCTCAGTCTACTTTGTGTGTTTAACTGTGTTTTTCATGAAGAATATTTTGAGTGTTTCAGCTTGTTGATAACACACATCTAGTCAATTAATTTTTTTATTGATAAAGCTCAAATAAATGTAGCGTCAATAAATGTAGTTTTAAGGTGTCTAAAAATAGCGGATACAGCTGATGTTGATACATTTAATAGTTAGATTCATAGATGGATATAAAATATACTTGAACTCAGAGGAAAATTGCAACCTTTTAAACATTTGTGTATACATTTCAACTTCTTGAGGGGTCGCCACGGTGAGATATCCTTCTCCATCTCACTCTGTACTCTGCATCCTCTGTCCTCACTCCAACTACCTCTATGTCCTCTCTAACTGGATCCACATACAGTATCTCCTCTTTGGCCTTTCTCTATCTTTTCCGGGTAGCTGCATTTCTAACATCCTTCTAAGTTATATCTATATACCCACTGTCCCTCCTCTGGACATGTCCAAACCATCTCAGGCTGGTCTCTAACTTTATCTCCCAGTTGTTCAACCTGTACTGTACCTCTGATTATCTCATTCGTAATCTTATTCATCCTTGCAATCTCAAGGAGAACCTCAAAATCTTCATTTCTGCCACTTCCAGTACTTTTTTTTCTTTTTCAATACCACTGTGTTCAGACCATACAACATAGCAGGTCTCACAACTGTCTTGTAAACTTTTCCCTTGGCCTTTGCTGACATCCTTTTGTTGCAAATCACTCCTGAAACTTTTCTCCATACTTTCCATGCTGCCTGGACTCTCTTTTTCACCTCTTTATCGCATTCACTATTTTCCTGGACAGTGGACCCCAAGTACTTGAAGTCCCGCACCTTTGCACCCATCTACCTCTCCGAGCTCCTGGAACCATATGTTCCGTCTCGGGCCCTGAGATCATCGGACCAGCTTCTTTTGGTCGTTCCAAAATCACGCCTGAAGCTCCGAGGGGATCGAGCTTTTTCAGTCAGAGGTCCCAACCTGTGGAACAACCTGCCCCTCAACATCAGGCAGGCCTCCTCCCTCCTGATGTTCAAATCCCTCCTTAAAACGCACCTGTTTGCTCTGGCGTTTAATACTGTATGAGTTAGTTTATTTTGTTCTGTGTACCTCATTTTAAATTCTGTTGTTTTATGATTGACGTTTATTTTTACTGCTTGTTTTTCCTTAGTGTGATCATTAGTGTGTGTTATTGCTCCAGTAATTTTAATTCTGTATGATGTTTTTGTTTTGCTGCCTATGTTTTGCTACATTTCTGTTAAGCACTTTGATAACAGTTTATCTGTTTTAAATTGTGCTCTACAAATAAAGATGACTTGACTTGACT